TTCACCCACTGAAGGACATCTTGGTAGCTTCCAGTTTTTGGCTATTATGAATAAAGCTGCTGTGGACATCTATGTACAGGTTTTCATGTGAATGTTGGTATTAATGTCTCTGGCATGAATGCCTAGAAGTACAGTTGCTGAGTCATATGGTAGTTGCATATTTAGTGTGTCGAGGAGTCGTGAAACTGCTTTCCAGAGTGGTTGTACCGTTTACATTCCCAAGAAATGTCTGTTCCTGTCTTCTGCCCACTGTCTAGTTAGACTTTTCTGACCTGCTGAGCTTTGAGAGTTCTTTATGTGTTCTAGATACCAGTCTTTTGTCAGGTATGTGGCTTGCAAATATTTTCTCCCAGCCAATAGCTTGTCTTTTCATCATCTTAAACTTTTTCTTTGCAAAAGATTTTAATTTTGATGTTTTATCAGTTTTTCCTTTTCTAGATCATGCTTTTGGTGTCAAGTCTAAGAACTCTTTGCTTAACCCTAGATCCTGAAGATGGTCTCTTATGTGTTTTACTAAACATTTTATGGTTTTATATCTTACTTTTAAATCTACAGTATATTTTAAGTTAATATTTGTATAAGGTATGAGGCTTAGGTTGAGGTTTTTTTTTCTTTTTCTTTTTTTAACCTATGGATGTCCAATTTGCTCTAGTATTTGTTGAAAAGACTATTCTTCCCTATTGGATTACTTCTGAGCTTTTGTCAAAAATTGGTTGGGCCTATTTATGTGAGTCTGTTTCTGGATTCTAGATTCTGTTCCATTTTCCTATGTGTTTATCCTTCAGTCAACGCCACACAGTCTTGATTATTGTTGTTATATAATAATCCTTGAAATCAAGGAGATTAATACCTCCTACCTTACTGTTCTTCAAAATTATGTTAGCTATTATTATTTCTTTTCCTTTCCATATACATTTAAGAATAATCTTGTCTGTATCTACCAATGAATTTGCTGGGATTTTGATAGGATTAGTATTAAACCTATCTATAAATTTGGAGATAATTGACCTTTTTACTATGTTGAGTCTTCTAATGTACGCACATGGTATGCCTCTGTTTATTTAGATCTTCTCTGATCACTTTAATCAGTATTTTGTAGTTTTCAGCATATGAGGGTACTTCAAAAAGTTTAAGGAAAGATTCATATTATCTTTTAGTTGTATTTTTCCATGAACTTTTTGAAGTACCCTCGTATAAGTCCTATACATGCTTTGTTAGATTTATACCTAAGTATTTCATTTTTTGAGTGATTGTAAATGTATTGTATTTTTTAATTTCGGTGTCCATGTGCTTATTGCTAGTATTTAGAAATACAATTGATTTTTGTATATTGATCTTATATCACGTGACATTCTGAGTTCAATTATTTGGGCAGCTGGTTCGTATGGGGATCTGAACCCTTGACCTTGGTATTGCCAGCACCTTATTCTAACCAACTGAGCTAACTGGCTAGCCCTTAAATTCAATTATTTGTTCAAGGAGTTTTTTGGTACTGTTTTGTTTTTGTAGCATCCTTTGTATTTCCTGTGTAGAACATCATATCATTTTTATTTCTTCCTTTCCAGTCTGTGTGTCTTTTCTTTCTCCTCTTGCCATATTGCACTGACTAGACCTTCCAGTGCCTTGCTGAATGTGAGCGATGAGAACCATCATTCTTGCATTGTTCCTGCTGAGAGCATTTCATGTTCCACCATTAAGTATAATGTTAGCTGTGGCTTTTTCTGGATGTTCTTTATCAAGATGAGGAAGTTCTCCGCTATTTCTATTATTCTGAAAGTTTTCATCATGAATGGATATTGAATTTTGTCAAATTATTTTTCTGTATCAATTGCTATGTGATTTTATTCTTTATCCTGTTGATGTGGTGTATGGCATTGACTGATAATTTCAATTTTGAACTAGCACTACCTCCCTAGATTCAACCCTGTTTGGTCAGGGTGTATAATTATTTTTTGCATATTGCTGAATTGCTAATATCTGGTGAAGGATTTTTACATCTATATTTATTTAAGTGTGTTTGTAGTTCTTCATCAACTCATTGTTGCAGTGGCTGCTGTAAAGTCTTTGCTGTTGGTATGAGTGATATTCCTTTGGAACCTGGACATTTGGGATATCATGTACGTAGCTGTGTATATTATTTGGACCTTTTGTTTTGGCTAGTTTTCAGGGACATCACTCTGGCAGGGAAGGGGGCTGCCATCTCTTTTCCAAGTGGAGGTAGAAGTCCAGGCTCCATGCTGGGCCTCCGCTGACACCTACAGTGGAAAGGCTCCTCCCCAGTGCTGGGGAGGAGTGAGAATCCTGGGTCCCACAGGCTCCACTGGGCTGGATGGAGGAGCAGGGGAGCCCATTGTCCCACTGACTCTATGGAGTGGGAGGTGCTCATTACCAGCAAGCGGAGAGGAAAGGTGGGCCCCCTCCATGGTGTCTCTAATACCACCCAACATGGGGTAGGTTGGGGGCCTTGTCACATCTTGGGGAAAGTGGAGGCCTGGCCTCCATCCTTGGCTTTTGCTGGTGTGGGTGGGGTTGGGGTGCAGACTTTAGATGCTATCAGATGGTGCTAATGCCTAGCCCTTGGCCAGAAGTAGTCTGCTATTGGGAACTTCATGATGGTGACTTAAACAAGTGAGACAGCTCTTTTTATGTGCACATTCCAGGGTAAGCACTTTATGATGGTGCGGTAGGTCTGATCCATGAAACCCTCAGCAACCCGTTCTCCATCTAGTTCCCCTCCTGTGTCCCTAAGGTGTGGCCTTCATCCTCTTGAACCAAAATGGTAGCAGAGATCCAGCTGTTATGACTGTATTCTCAGCAACAGCAGGAGAGGAAGGGAAGAGGACTGAGCAATCTTTAAGGAATATTCCAGAAGCTCCCGTGTGACCCTTCAACTTGTGTCTCCTTGGCCACATCTAGTTGCATGGGAAGCTGGAAAATGTGGACCTTTATTCCAGGTAGCCAAGAATCCTGATGAAAATAGGGGCTCTATGGTGGTGTTAGTGGGGTAACAGGGACACTGGGGACAGCCGGTGGCTGGCCAGTGACTCTGCCATAGCACCACTCTCCATGGCTTGGCATTTCCAGCATGAGGAGCCCCAGTCCCTGCGGTCTGTGTGTGGGGGCTGTGTGCCAGGTGGCCTCTCCCAGGCTTTCTCTCCTTCGCTCTGGGATTAGCACCTATGGTGCCAGATGCTCCCCTGACACATCTTTGAGGTCCCTGGTGGTCACTATCCTTCTGCAGTTTTCATTTTTCCAGCCTGAATGACTTAGCCCATTGGTCTGTGGTGACTGTGTCCATCCTAGTCCAAATCATGCAGGGCAGTCGGGATGGTGGAAAGACCAAGAACCCCTAAGGCCTTGCCTCGGGCTGGGTTCCTACAGCAAGAGTGTTTCAGAGTCTGTCAGAAGGGGTGCTTTGAGAAATTGACAGTAAAGGGAGGTGGGAGATGGCACTGGGTGAAGCAGGCTCGTGCAGGGTGGGAGACAGGGGTCGGGGTGGAGGTGGGTGTGGGAGGGTGGAGGTGGGAAGGAGGGGGCAGGGTGTGTCTCTGTGCCACAGAGGGAGGATACGTCCCCTCCGCCTCTCTCCAGCCCTTGTGTCCTCCCTTATAGGAAGGATATTCTACCTGGTTCTACATGGATTTAAACTTCACTCTCGTCTTCCTTTCCAAAGCAGAGTGGGAGGGGGCACGGAGGGACTGAAGGCAAAGTGGGGGACCCTCGCATGATGTTTCTGGAACAGGGCTTCTCAGACACAGGGCTGAGCCTGGCGGGTCCAGGGCCAGCCGGGGTTGAGGTCTGAGAGGATTCCCTTGAAAGATGAGAGTCTTGGTCTAGATGACCAAACCAAGGCCTAGGCAGAGGAAGGGATTCTCCAGGATGGCACAGCTCATTTTGAAAAAAACAAACATTTATTCTTTTGGGGGAATAAGAAAATGCTTGTCCTGCACAGTTAAGGGAGAAAAAAGAAGACAGAGATCAAGAGAAAATGCTACATTGTCCCCGAGACCGCTTATCTGTGTGAGCCCTGGGAGCTCAGTTACTTTTATAAGCCAGTATGGAAGACTCTTTGGAGTATATTGCAGCAGTGGGGGATGGGGTGGGGGGTGAAGAGAGGCTAGGGACCCTGCTTGGAGACAGCAGCATTTTCTCAGCTGTGCGCACTACACATGGAAGCTCAGAGTGCCTAGGCAGGCAGCCAAGACTGAGCACCTTGGCCCAGGGAGTGGCATTAGGGGTGCTGTGGGCATGTCCAGGTGTCGTGGGGGTTGGTGCTCGGCCAGCGCTCCTAGAGCAAGTTCCTTGTTTCAATGGCAGTGCAAGCCTGGGCTCGGGCCCACCTGGGCTCTAAGGGCTAGGCAGCGTCTGCAGGACTGGATGTGGTCGGCCATGTGTGTGGAGGAGGGTCTGTAGCCCCTCGTTGAGGGCAGCTTCTACCACCAGCCTCATTGGGAAGGGTATGGTCAGGAAGAGCAGGGGCCCTGCTGCCTGACACGGGCCCTTCTTTCCTGTCCAGGAGCGGCTCCTCATGAGCCTCTTGCCCCGGAATGTTGCCATGGAGATGAAGGAGGACTTCCTGAAGCCCCCTGAGAGGATTTTCCACAAGATTTATATCCAGAGGCATGACAACGTGAGGTAGGGCTGGCACTGACCCAGCCCAGCAGTGGGCCCAGGGAGCTGAGATGGGAGTGGTTGGAGGAGGTGTGGAGTGATAATGGAGGTGGGTAGATATGGACAAAGGATCCTGGTTGTGAAGGGAGGGGAGATGTCGTCAGGAGGCCGAGGTGGGCAACTGCCCATCAGAGAAGCAGGTCCCACATGGAGGGTGCTGTTGGCTTCTTGGGTGATGCATGTGTCACAGTCCTGTTTTCCCTTTCTTATTTTCGTACCCTTTTACTCATGTGTTGACTAAAGACGGTCAGAACTCTATCCCTAAAACCAGGTTTGGGCAGTGATATTTTGGGCTGGGAGTTTGCCATGTCAGAATAATAGCTGAGCATTATTCTAGTTGCCAGGGTCTCTGACAGGCATTGTCCTCTTTGTCACTCTGTTTATCTCATGACAGCCCTGGGAGGTAGGGAAGGTTGTTCCCATTTTACAGGTGAAGAAACTAAGCCTTCAGAGTGAACCAATGTACTCTATATATGCTGAGGTTTGCTGTTTGTTTTTAAAGATTCTGATAAAAAGTATTTATTTCATTAAATTGTGTATTTCTTTGAAAAATACTTGGTATTGAAGTGTAATGCACTTCGAATAGTCAAGTGTTGCCTGTTTAGTATTAACACTTTATGTGAACATCACTCAGGTGGGAGGAGTACTTTTTCTCTTTGCTGCCTTTTGCTGACTCCTCTGGGTATTGGTGTCAGGCCTCCCTGCTCACTGGTCCCCCGAAGACACAGGAGGATAAGAAAAACTCTCCTTCTGTCTCGTGTTGACTGTCTGGGTCCCTGCAAGGTAGTACTTTTTCACTGGAAATGAGTTGAGGATTGTGGACCCCTCAGGATCCAAGTTGTCCCTGTGTGCAGTCCAGTGTGGCTAATCACTGCCTGTTTGAGAACTCTGAGCTTTTGTGTGAACTCATTCTCTGCCACTGTCATGCTATTGGGTAAGGACCAGTGTTGTCCTTGTTCTAAAGAGGAGAATGCTGAAAGCAATGTGGGGGTTAAGGCCCAGGTATGTGGAGGGTAGCTAAAGAACAGCCTTTGAGCCTAGGATGACTCTAGAAGTTGTGCTTAGAACCTCTCTGCTAAATACTTGTACTTGGTTCTGTTTAATATCATCACATCCCTGTAATGTGGAGGGTAGCTAAAGAACAGCCTTTGAGCCCAGGATGACTCTAGAAGTTTTGCTTAGAACCTCTCTGCTAAATACTTGTACTTGGTTCTGTTTAATATCATCACATCCCTGTAAACCACTGGCATTGTCACCTCCCTTTTATAGGTGAGGAAATTGAGTTTCAGCAAAGAGAAGCATGTGTGCAGGACACCTTGGTCAGCAAGTGGCAGGGATAAGACAGGACCTGGGATTAGCTGACATTAACATCTGCCTCAACTTTTCCCATTTCACCTGCTGCCTCCTATTGCTGGGTGAGGACATGTTATAGTGACCAAGCCCCCGATGAGAAGAACAGACCACCAGAATGATTGAGGGCACACCTCGAGGGGAGTCAGAGCCTCTCCATGCTGCAGGAAAGGCATCAAAAGTAAGAGACCTTCTAGAAGTTTGAGCTGGTAGATGTCATTGGCTATCCCTCCTGCTTAGCACAGAATGAGCAGATGAAAAGTTCCAGCTCTTGGCTTCCCCCCAGGGAGGGAAAGAGTTTGATTAGTGAGAGCAGTGCCCCAACTTTCCTGGGGCTGCCCAAGGAATGAGCATATATCTTTCTAGCCCTGGATCTCTGATGGGTCTGGTACAATCTGGCTATTGGGGAAGAACGGAGGTGGTGGCTTGAGCTGGTAGATGCCATAGCTTCCTCTTCACCTCCTGGTCAGCACAGAGTAAGCAGACAAAAACCACAGCTGCTTGATTTTCCCTGGGGAGAAAAACAGTTTTGTAGAGGCCCTCAGAATCTCTGGCAGGGCTGCTTGTTAGGAGTCTCCTCCTGTACAAGGCCAGTTCATGGAGACTGGGAGAGGTGCTTGCTTTGTCTCATATATAAACACTAAGACAAAGAGTCAAGGAAAATGAAGAACCAGGTGAAGATGTTCCAAACAAAGGAATAAGGTAAATCTTCAGAAACTGACCCTAAGGAAATGGAGGTATATGATTTACTTGACAGAGAATTAAAAATAACTCTCATAAAGATGCTCACTGAGGTCAAAAGAATAATGCATAAATGAAGTGAGAATTTCAACAAAGGAATAGAAAATACTTGTATAAAAAAGTGCCTGAGAGAAATCATGGAGCTGAAGACCACAATCACTGAAATGAAAAATACATTAGAGGGGTTCAATGGAAGACTAGATTAAGCAGAGTAAAGGATTAATGAACTGGAAGACAGGTCAGTGGAAATAATTCAGTCAGAGGAGCAAAAAGAAAAAAGAATCTAAAAGAGTGAAGAAAGTGTAAGGGAATTTTGGGAAGTCATCAATGGACTAATACACACATTATTTGAGTTACAGAAGGAGAAGAGTGAGAAAAAGGACCAGCAGGCTTATTAAATTTATAATAATAGCTGAAAACTCCCCAATTCTGGTGAAGGAAATGGGTGTTCAGATGTAAGAAACCCAAATAACACCAAATAAGATGAACCCAAAGAAATTCAGACTGAGACACATTATAATCCAATTCTCAGAAGTCAAAGACAAAATTTTGAAAGCAGCAAGAGAAAAGAAACTTGTCACATACAACAGAACCTCCATAAGATTATCAGCAGATTTTTCAGCAGAAACCTTACAAGCCAGAAGAGAGTGGGATAATATATTCAAAGTGCTGAAAGAAAAACTGTCATCAAGAATGCTATGCCTGGCAAAACTCTCCTTCAAAAATGAAGAAAAGATAAGGACCTGGGCCGGCCCGGTGGTGCACTCGGTGGAGTGCAGCGCTTGGGAGCGCGGCAGCGCTCCCACCGAGGGTTCGGATCCCATGTGGAGACCGGTCTGCTCGCTGGTTGAGTGCGGTGTGGGCACGACACCGAGGGTTGTGATCCCGTTGCCGGTCGTGGTGCGGGCGCGATACTGAGGGTTGCGATCCCGTTACTGGTCATGAAAAAAGACAAAAAGGAAAAAAAACAAAAAAAGAAAAGATAAGGACCTTTCTAGACAATGAAAAGCCAAGAGAGCTTATAACCACTAGACCTACCTTGAAAGAAATGCTAAAGGGAGTTTTTAAGTTGAAACAAAAGGATGCTAAACAGCAAAACAATAGCATAAAATAGTATGAAACTTGCTGGTAAATGTAAATATATAGACAAATGCAAAATACTGTATTACTATAATTTGGTGGATTCTAGCATAAAAGTTAAATAAAAGTATTCAAAATAACTACAACTGAAAATATGTTAAAAGACATACAATACAAATATGTAAATTGTGACAGCACAAAGTATATATCATGGGAGAGAAGTTGAAGTGTAGAGTGTTTGTATGTGATCAAACTTAAGTTGTTATCAGCTGAAAATAGACAACTGTAACTATTAAGATTTTTTGTAAGCCCTTAGGTAAACACAAAGAAAAAATATCTATAGAAATTACACCAAAGAAAAAAAGAGGGGAATTAATAATGAATATGAATACAAAAAAAATCAACAAAACACAAAAGAACACAGAAAGAGAGGAAAAAACACACAAAAAAACAATAAGACTAACAGAAAACAAGTCAATATGGCAATAGTAAGCCTTTCCCTATCAGTATTTATGTTAAGTGTAAATGAGTTAAACTTTTCTAATCAAAAGGCATAGAGTGGCTGAGTGAGGGGGAAAACAAGCCTAATGATATGCTATCTAAAAGAAACTCACTTTAGATTTAAGGACACACATGGGCTGAAAGTGAAGGGATGGGAAAGATAGTCCATGCAAATGGTAAGCAAAAGAGAGCAGGGCTTTGCCTATATCAGACAAAATAGACTTTAGGTCAAAAACTGTCAGAAGAGACAAAAAGGGCATTTTATAATGATAAAAGGGTCAATCCACCAGGAAGACATGACAATTGGAAATATATAAGCAATCAAAATAAGAGGGCCTAAATATATAAAGCAAGCATTAAAAGAATTGAAAGGAGAAGTAGACAGCAGAACTATAGTAGTAGGACACTTCAGTAGTTCACTTTCGATCATAGACACAACATCCAGACAGCAAATCAGAAAGCAGAGGACTTTAACAACTCTGTAGACCAAATGGACCAAACAACATGTGCAGCATTCTGCACTCAATAGCAGCAGAATACACATTCTTATCAAGTGCACATGGATCTTTCCCCAGGGTACATCACATGTTAGGTCACAAAACAAGTCTTAACAAAATTAAGAAGAGTGAACACATACCATGAATTCACTTGATATGAAGTGAATTAATTCACTTTTCTGGCCACAATAGAATGAAACTAGAAATCAATAGCAGAAGGAAAATTGAAAAATTTGCAAATGTGTGGAAATTAAACAGTGCACTCTTTAACAATCATTGGGTCAAAGAAGAAATCAAAAAGGAAATTATGCAATACCTCCAGACAAACTAAAATGAAAACACAACATACCAAAACTTATGGGATGTAGCAAAATCAGTAATAAAAGGGAAGTGCATAGTGATAAATGCATACATTTAAAAAGAAAGATCTCAAATCAGTAACCCAACTTTACACCTCAAGGAACTGGAAAAAGAGCAAACTAAACTCTAAGTTAGCAGAAGGAAGGAAATAACACCGATAAGAGCAGAAATACATTAAGTGAAAAACAGGAAAACTATGAAAAAAACTGCAAACCTAGGAGTTGCTTTGTGAAAAGATAAACAAAATAGACAAATCCTTAGCTACACTAACCACGAGAAAAAGAGAAAAGACTCAAATTCAGAAATGGCTTAGAGATTATACCTGAAGCCACAGAAATAAAAAGGAGTATAAGAGGCATTATGAACAATTATGTGTCAACAAACTGGATAGGGCTGGCCCGGTGGCACACTGCGCTAGTGCGCCGCTTGGGAAGT